CGGGGAGGACGAGCCCCCGCCCCGCAAGCGCCACAGCCGCCTCCGGCAGCCTGGCCTCCCGCGCCACCCCGGCGGCCATCCCCAGGCCGAGCCAGCCCTCACAGCAGTTCCCTCCCGGTTTCAGCAGATTATCCTTCTCTCTCAGGCCCACTTCTCACCCACGAGTGCCAGTTCCTTGCCAGAAAACCCACGAGACGTTGCCAAGGCCTTAGGGGACACGCTTGGCAGGAACAGGAGGTCAGTCCCTGTACACCTACGCTCCAGGACAGGCTCAACTCTGCTGCCACAAAATGATCAAGCGCTTACAAACCAGTCAGCAGCTAGCATTGACCTGATGAACCCCAGAGCAGAGGCTGAAACTCACTTTTTGCAGTTGCGAAAGCTGGAGGCGCCTCCAAAGGGCAGTTGTGGTGCAGCAGGTCACAGCCTGGTGGTCCCTCTCAAGCTCTGAACAGTTCCCTCACTAGTCTTGCATCTTCCCTTTGACATAAGTAACAGCCCAGCTCATCACAGGACAGGGGAAAAGAAAGGATGATCAGTCCTTATCCTGCTTCACAAGCAAGCATCTAATCCAGCACTGACCTAGCACTTTCTGCTGTCCCTTTCTGGAGAGGTGGTCACACCCTAGGTCTGAGTGCTGGGCTCCTCAGCCAGCTGCTGTCATCCCTGCTGCACACTAGCCCAGTGCCCCACCAGCCTTCTTCTGCCCTCCCTCAGCCAGACCAGTCTCCTCCCCCTCTGCAGCTGGGGCGCAGGATACGGTCACCATAGCTCAGCTGAACAGGGTGCTGCTGGAAATGCCACCACACCTGCCTGCAGCAGAGCGAGCTGTGGCATTTTTAAATCCCGGGCCAGGCAACACAGCACACGCTGCTATACCCAGGCCATCCCAGCATCCATACACCAAACTGCTCGGGCAGAGCATCAGGAGAGCGCACGTTGTGGAACCCCCCCAAGCTGCCAGCAGCACATTAGAAACGAGGGGGATCAACACTGATACACCAAACAGGCCTGTAATGCAGGAGGCTGAGAGCAGGGCTAGAGTAAGTCTTGGATCTCAGCACTTCCAGACAGTGAAGAACGGGGGTTTCATGCAGGGTGAATGGGGTGGGTGAGGGACCAACACACCCAGGCACCTATTCGCTGTTTTGCATAAGCCTTACTAAAACTCTAATACTTGTTGCAATCACTGACCAACATGACAATTGCTATTCTTCAGAGTCTCCTGCAGAGATGCTTGGGGCTGCATGGACAGGGGAGTGAAGGTCATCTCACACCTTTCTGTACAGGGAGAGAGGCAGCTCACACACCGTAATGCCATAGGCAGGTTCCTGCTCCACACCTATTCACACCTGCTGCTAGGTGCAGGACAACACATTCACTTGCATAAATCTTCATACCTTTAGGCCAAGACCACAGCCCAGTAGAACAGACTGCTGCCAGTTACAAAAGAGGAAAATACTGAACAAATTGGGAGCTTCAAGAGAGGAAAAGCTGGTTCAGAGAAGACAGATTTAGTGTAAAAATAAATGTCATTTTTGCAGGAGGGAGGGTGGAATGGAGGAAGACGGTGCCAGGTGCTCCTACTGGCGCACTTTTCCTGGGACGTAATTCCTATCAATAGTCTCCTCTTGCAGGAACATATGTAAGCAGCGCTCATTCTGTGCCAGTGGGTGTCCAGCAATTCTGGAAGAAAAGCACAAGTGGAGGTTAGCACAGCCACCACAGGGGTCCCCACAAATCCACTTTGCGTAGTGAGTGAATAAGGTAAACTTCACTAACGGGGACCAGCCTCAAGCACAAAAATGTCATGATCACTCCACAGCCTTGGGAGGCCTGACCTGCCCAAGGGGAGCAAACCCAGGGACTTGGGCTTTTCCCGATCAAATTGAAGCCTTGAAACAGCCACTCTGGGGCGAGGCCAAGGTCACTGGATCGGCATGTATCAGGGCCAGCAAGAGATGCTTGAGCACAGAGTAATCCCTCCACTAGCACGCTCTGCAGCAGGGTCACGAGCATCCTGAAACAACACTATGCAGTCAGTGAGTCTCTGCAGCACAACTTATCTGCTAACATTCACTTCAGTCTCAGAACAGAGCACTGAATACAGTCCACAGTCAAGGCAGGACTTGCTTCAGAGATGTGACTTCACTACCCAGCTGCAGGCACCATCCTTTAGCGTGGCACTCGCACACAGTGGATCAGGATTCCTTCCTAGTCAACCCACAACCCTTTTCTGCTGGCAGCAGCCAGGAGGGCAAGCACACAGCAAGCCCAGGACACCAAGCTTACTTGTTAATAAACTGTTCTAGTCCCTGTCTCCGCTCCTCAATGAAGGACTCCTCAAAGATGCCTTCGTCTCCTCGGAATGGAAGCTGTCGTTTCAAAGCTTTTCCAGGCAGCGGTGGCACTACAATCTGAAAGCGCAGAATCATCGCCATTAGCAGAACTGCCTCCTGCAAGAGGGCTTCCTTCGCTGTCTGATGCTCAGCTCTAGCACCATTACTTGGCCAGAGATCAAGCCTCAGCAGCAGCAGCCCACCACAGCCTCTCCTCTGGGTAAGACATGATCATTGCTACAATTGTTACCGTGTGACCCCATTGCAGCAAAGGTCCGAGCTAGGCCTCACCTTACTGTCTCGCTCCAGCTCATTCTTCAGCCATTCAAAGTCACTGTATCTTCTCCTCACACACGACTCCTTCAATTTGAAGATGGGGAGGTTTGTCTGTAACGAAGAGAAGTAGTTAATTTGCAGGTTGGTTCAGAAGCCAGATAGCATTTCAAGATGTAATCGAAACCTAAAGCTGCATTTAGAAAGCCAAGCCCCCTGAGAAGAACGCATCACGAGAACACCCAGCTCCATTATTCAGGACATAAGCACTGAAGCCCTTCAAAAATCAAGCAAGCACTTGCCAGGCTACTTGAAGCCAGCCGTTCCCTCCCCCTCAAGTTACTATTTCAGGAAAACACCCCCTCCCAGGGGCACACACTGGAACCAGGGCTTACAGTACAGAGAAGGCTTCCCGCCCCCCCCCCCACCCCCTCCGAGTTCACTCCATTTTGAACTGGTGTTCAAGAAAGCTTCGTAGTAGCTTCCAGAGCTAAAGAACCTCCCATCTGGCACTGCCGTTTCCATGGAAGAATTAAGGGAGGAAATCTTGTCCCAGCAACTGCCCAAGGCCAGATCTCGTGCTACAATCTTCTCTACAGAACAGACTGACTACCCAAATGGAAAAGCACCTTTTCCATATCTGGCCTGTGCCACGACAGGAACTTTGCAGCAGTTCCCCTCCCTTCTTCCCCCCACATCGGAGTCGGAAGCCTGAAAGCTACAGCAACTTCACCCTCACGCTGCCAATAATAAATACATCCTGAAACAATCAAGGAACTAAGGCAGCAGAACCTTCTGACAAGTCAGCACCAGATGTACACAGGTGGTGCTGCCACACACATAACTGTATTCTCATCAGGTCCGCAAAACAAAACCAGCCGCTTTTGAAACATCTCTGCAAGAGCTAGTCTCAGTGACACTAAGCGGTTCTCACTGCCATCTGCCAGACACTTTGGCAGGTTGAACGAAACCAAGCATCAGGACAGAAAAAGAGCAAACACCCAATCCTCCTCCGAAAGGCAGCGGAGACGCAGCAGTTAAATCATGCCGTGGAACAGAAGCCAACGCCAGCACCGTAACGTACACTAGCAGCACCTTGTTTCAGGAGAAGCTCAGTTTTACTTGCGCTATCCTATAGCGAGCCTCGAAGTCACCACCTCAGCCCAATTAAGGCCCAGAACCCTGCAAGAAGCGCTCAGCCTGCTACGCGCTCTTCAGGACCGCAGGCTCTTTGTGAAGCGACCGAGCTTATTCGCAGACGGCAGCTCCACCGCAGCGTGATGGGCTCCCGAGGCACTGACAACTGGCTTGCCTTCCCTCCTGGAGCAGGCAGCAAGAAGCGCTCAGCCTGCTACGCGCTCTTCAGGACCGCAGGCTCTTTGTGAAGCGACCGAGCTTATTCGCAGACGGCAGCTCCACCGCAGCGTGATGGGCTCCCGAGGCACTGACAACTGGCTTGCCTTCCCTCTTGGAGGAGGCAGCTGCGGGGGGGCGCCCTTCCCCGGCGGGGGCCCCGG